AGGAAGGAAGGAAGGAAGGAAGGAAGGAAGGAAGGAAGGAAAGGGTGTCACTTTTTTAAGATCACCGATTGCTATATTGTATCCGTAGATGAATTCAAGGCAAAACCGTGCCCTAAAGTAGCAGAAAAATCAAGGCAACACAGATGCGATTGTTGCTTTAAGTTGCTACTTTTTGGCAGAGAAGAATTTCTTCCTGCAGAACAGCGGCCATGCTCTTGACACACACACACACACACACACACACACACACACCCCCACACACACCCCCCGAAAGCTAAGCCTCCCCCCGCCCCCAACTGCCCAGAACAGCCAAGTCTTCACCCATACCTGTAGTCCCCGAAGTGAAGATATACAGGCAGGTGTCCGTCAGGTTGCTGGGGGTGGAGAGGTCGTAAGGAACCGGCTCATCTGAAGCTTCCTCCAGGAGATCCTGAAGGCTGCTCACGCCCCGTGGATAGGGCCCCTTTCCCATCACCCAGACCGCAACGTCCATTTCCTCCAACGTGGGAAGGACCGGAGCCACGGCTTCAAAAAGTTCTGCAAAGAGAGGGGGGAATGGGAGGGGGCCGTGAAGTGGCTGGCCGAGGAGCAGGGAGACCGGGGTGAAGCTCCTGCGGTGACTTTGGTCTCTCTCTCTCTCTGGCCTACCTCGCAGGGCCGTTGTGGTGAGAGGGAAAAGTAGGAGGAGGGAGTATACAAAGTACGTCCCGCCCCAAAAGTGGGACGGAAACTGAACAAGCAAAAATGGAAATCGAACGACTAAGCGTTGAAATTGAACAACCAAACATGGAAACTGAACAACTAAAAATGGAAACTGAACTATTAGAAATAAAGCTCAGGTACAGAAAAACTCAAGGGGGTGGGTGGGTCTTTTTTGCAGTCTTGGGAAAGCGAGATTGGAACAGGGCACATCTGCAAGCCGCTTTGGGGCAAAAGTGAAGAAAATGCTCTTGGGGGTCGCTTTTCCCGCTGGTCGGTCCGTGGAGAGGAGACCACGAGGAAAGCCCGGGGCAGGAGAGGCGGAAGGCCTCCCCAGAGAACCCGCTTCGGAGGCCGCCCGAGAAACGGTCTTGCCCTGGGCGAGCCTGGCCGTGCGCCGCGGAGCCCAGCGCGGCGGGAGGGGCGGGCGCCCCTGCCTTCCCGCGACCCTCGGCTCGGGGGCGCGCGGGGCAGGCCCCCAGGCCCCTGGCCCCGCCCTCCCCCTCCCCCGCGCGGGCGGGCGGGCGCGCGCACTCACCGTCCGAGGCCAGCAGCGCGCGGGCGCCGCAGGCGCGCAGGCAGTGGAGCAGCGCGGCCGGGCGCAAGCGCGGTGCCCAGGAAGGCCGGCACGGCGCCCAGCTTGGCCAGCCCGATCCAGGCCCAGACGAAGGCGGGCTCGTTGCCCACCAGCAGCGCCACCCTGCTG